ATAACAGAAAAATACGTTAGTTAGAAATCAATTTTTAAAGCAATGAAAACTTCTACTCAAAAAAATTTTTAAATTGAAATAAAGAAGACCTAAATAAATAGAAAGACTCCTCATATTACTGAATCCAAGACTGTGAGCTTGTGATGGCACTGTTCCTCCACCTGATCTCCAAATTCAATACAATCTCCAAAATTCCTACAGAATTCTTTGCAGAAATTGACAAACTAGTGTCCTGACTTTCACACAGAAACTCAAAGTGACTGCAATACCAAAACAATCTTGATTCAAGATGGCAGACTCACTTCCTTATTTCAAAATCTACTGCAAAAAAGTAAACAAAACAGTACTTCTATATTATAGGTGCATCATTTAATAAAGTCAAATTGAGATTTAAAATAAACCCTAACATTCATGGTTGATTAATCTACAACAGGGGTGGGAAGAAAATTCACTAGTTCAGGAGGACAGTCTTGAACTAATGGTACTGGGACAGCTGGATATCCATAGGCAAAAGCATGAAGATGGAACCCTACCTCACACCATATACAAAAATTAAAATGCCAGGAGATAAACTTTCAGGAAAAACATCACAAAATGTTCACACCAAATCTTCATGACTTTGAATAAGGAAATGGCTTCTTGGGTGTGACACGAAGCACACAAACAGCAAACTTGGTGCCAACAAATTTTAAAACTTTCCTCATACTTTAGAAACATCAGCAATAAAATGAAAAGATAATGTAGAGAATGAAGAAAAATTATAAGATATCTAATTAGGGACTTATACAATAAAGAACAATTATAAATCAATTACAAAAAGAAAACCCAATTAAAACTGGGCAAATGATCTAAACAGCCAATTCTCTAAAAAAGATACACAAATGACCAACATGAACATGCAAAGATACTTAACATCATTTGGCGTCAGGCAGGGAAGTTTAAAAACACAACAATATGTACTTTATACTCTCTAGCACAGCTACAATAAAAAAGAAAGACAATTGGTGTAGACAAGGATGTAGAAAAATTGGACCCCTCAGACTGTACTGGTGGGAATCTAAAGTGGTACAATCAGTGTTGGAAAATAGTCTGGTACTTCTGATCCTGCAATTCCTCTCCTAGATGTGTATCCAAGAGAATGAAGAACATGTCCCTACAAAATTTTGTGTATGAATGTCCCTGAAATCATTATAATATCCAAAAAGTGGAAACAATTCAAACTTCCACTAACGAATGAATAAATACAAATGTGTTATATGCAAACAGTGTGATGTCATTCTGAAATAAAATGAACCACTGACAAAACCTACAATATGAATGAGTCTTGAAAACATTCCACGTGAGAGTAGTGAGTAACAAAGGATTGCATACAGTATGGTTTCATTTATATGAAATGACCAGGATAGGCAAATCAACAGAGAACAAAAGTAGATTACCTACTTTTGTTACCTACCCCAAGGGAACTTATGGAACGATTGTGAATGACAGATATGGGGTGATTCTTCTTGGGGGGAGGAAACATCTAAAGTTAATTATGGAGGTGAATGTACAACTTTGTGAATATACCAAAAATGACTAAATGATAAAAATAAAAAGTCAGTTAGGAATCTGATAATATTTATCATATCCCAGTTATGGAAAACATACATTTAATTTGCTCTGACCATAAGCAATACAATCACAATCACATATGAGGGAATCACACAAAGAACGGGGGTGTCTGACATTCCAAGTCAACAATCTGCCCCCCAAGTACTTAGAACTTCTGCTATGGAATAAAGAAGAGCTCCAAATGCATGACCGTCTTCCTGTACAGTTGCCTAATGTGCCCCACAATCTCCATGGTAAAATCTCTGCAGAACTATTTGCTTCTCTAAACACTTGTTGTGGCCTGTATGGGTGTCTTCCCAAAGCCTCATGGAGTCAAAGAAAGTAGGTTTTTCAGAGGTGGCTAGATCTAGAGTTTGTAATTGATTCATGGTCCAATTCTGGTATTAAAGGTGTGAGCATTATACCTGCCCTAGGGCAGGTAGCCTGCATGCACTAGAAGAGACAGAAACAGTCTTCCCCCTCTCTCTCTGTTGTTGCTTTTGCTGTCTTCTGCTGCCATGAACTGCTGCCCCTCTGCCACGTGCCACCCTGCCTTGGAGCCACTGATTAAGGGTTGAAACCTCCACACACTGTGAGCTAAATAAATATTTCCTCTTTTAACTCTGTGTGTCAGGTGTTTTGTCTCTGCAGAGAAAAGTAAGTAACACTTATCTTAATACTAAAAGGAAGTTGGAATGATGAAAGATCCTCACATACTACAGACTGGAACATTTGGGATGTTCCAGTAAATAGCTTAATTCTTAAATATATATTAATATAAAACCTTCATTGTTTTGTTCTACTCCTTTTCTTCTTCACTACATATTAACCATCTTCAGGATGGAAATCAGGACTTCTGTGCTACACACAGCTACTACATTTCAAACCCCATAGTTTGTGCTTTGCTTTGATTAAAAAATACAGAGAGCACCATAAAATCCAGAGGGAGATCTACTTTCTATCTTTTCACATTCATTTTGTTTATGAGTCAGTATCTCAGGTTTCTTGTTATAATAAAACATGTTCAACTGAATCTCCATTCAGCAGTCTCAGATTCTATTACAGATGTACTAAGGATACTGTAAAGCCTTTCCCACAGTAAGATTTCTTTTTAATTCCAAAAGGGAAACCCAGCAAATAAGAGTCTGGAGACACAAGGAGAAGAAATATGCATCCATTGAAGGATTGCACATCAGTGCGCACTACCTTTTCCATCCTTACTGCAATGCTTCAAAGTGGATTATTACCCACATTTGACAGATGAGGAAAACTGATGTCCCTAGACATTCAATAGCTGTTGCCACAAAACTAGACCTGGAAGTCTAGTCTCTGCTGGTCTACATCTGAGGCCTGTGCTCCTTCTCCTAAAATGAGCCATTCCCCACGCCTCTCCCCTGCTTTTGAAGTGCTCTACTCTGCCTTCTCAGGAAATACCTGAAGAAATGCATTATGGACACAGCATTTGTATGGTGCTCCTACTGAGCAGCCCAACAGCACGAGACCAATGACACAGGACACAGCCTCTCTCTAACCGTGAAGCTGAGACCTGGCTTGACACTTGACCCCTAACATTCAGCATGTCTTTAAAACAACTCATATTTCTCACAGACATGTGCATCATCTTGCATTCTCTGGGCTTACCCCAAAACAACATGCTCATAATGTTGACAAAATCCAGCCCAAAGGATCAGAGCAAGTCACAAGCTCTAGCAGCTGAAGCAAATTTACTCACCAAAAAGATACACAACTACTGATTCACACACTTAATGAAATGTGCAAGGAAGACATTTTCAGCACCCGCCGAGTTAGTGTGTCCACTCCCCTGCCAATGAAAAACTGTCTTTCCTCACATTTTTTTACCTCAGAGAGGTGCACGGTGTCGACAGCCTGACACAGCTTCCTCCCTCCCTGACTGCTGGAAGTCCATGTGTTCCTCAGCAGTCATCTCTCTACATGGCCTTCTTCATCCACTGACCAGAGGAGAAGGGTTCAGCGAGCTTAGTACATCCACGTGATTTCAAAATTAGCCCCACACTGCCTGCAACACCACCCTGCTGCCCTTTATTACTCACTCTTCAGTGCATTAGCTTTTAGGAGGTCAGCCTGGCTTTCCACACTGCCAAACTCCCCACAAAACCTGCTTCAGCACATTGGACAGAGATGGCTCTTGAGAAATATTTTCAACAGACCAGTACGGAGGAAGTCGCTCCTAAAATTTTAACCTGTTCAAATTAACTAACAATTATTATTTTAATGGGGTGACTTTTCTCAAACTTATGACTCATTTTCCCTGGGGACTTTAGTCCCAGTGTTTCAACAAGGCATTGATGTTTTGTAATAACCTACCTTTGCAATCCCACTCCTCACAGTCTACCCCAAATCTCATCCTGTTTCCCACAAACCTTTGTAGGCTGCAGTCTCTTACCACCAACATGGTTTTTTCCAACCATGCTTCTGCATGAAGCCTTTCTTGGCTGCTGCAGTCCTAAGACAGATGACTTTAAGGTTTACCTTCAGTCCCTGCACACAAGCATGCAACCCTGAATCTGCAGTGCTTTGTGCTATTTACTTGTCCACATTCCTTAACAGCTTGTGCAATCCTGGGCATCAAAATTCATAATTATCCACCTGAATATTCCCAGGACCAAGCACAGATCCCAATTACAAATAGGACACATTTAAAAGTTGTTAAATGCACGCAGTTAACTTGCTTGATGCCTTACACGTGGCATCCTCAGACAGGATGTGGTTTTCTATGAACGGTCGACCACAAAGTAGGTGAGAAAGGCTCTCAGGGGTGGGCCTTGGATGGCAAAGGAGAATGTCACTTTACCCAAAGTCAGCTCTGTGTTTTTTTTTTAATTTTTAGACTTTATCTCTATGTATTTGTTATGAGTACATGTTTGGAGGACACAGTGTTTACATTCCTCCTAAGGAGCTGGTGCAGGTACATATCTTCAGTCCTGTATTCACCCTCTTTGTTTCCCTTCCCTCACCCTGCCTCCATCTCTTGATCCTTTTCCCATGTGAGAAAGATTGCTCTACTTCTTACTATCTGCATTTTATTTTGCTCTACTGCTAACTTGGATTGCCCATATAAGAGAAACCATGTGACAGTTAAGCTCGTGTCTCTGATTTAATTCACTTAGCACTGTGCTCTCCAGGTGCATCAATTTTCCTACTACGACTCAAGCTCATCCTTCTTTGTGCAGAGTAGCACCCATTGTGTGCCCCCAACACCACACTTCCTTTATCCAGTCGTTGGCGAAGTAAATCCAGTAATGCGGTCAACAGCAACCAAGGTTCCCCTAGCCAGACCTTCCCTAGAGCTCCTACCTCTCACCTCCAAAGCACCTTGCAGAGTCAACTAGCTCCAAGCAGGTTTTCAAGAGCAGGAGAAGCTTTCCTACCTGTGCTCCAGGTCTCCAATGGACAGTATCACACCTGAAGTCAATGACTTCTGCTGCACGGTGGCCAAAAAGGTGAATTCACTCTTATTCTGGAACAACTGAATTAATTTCTCACTCACATGAGGAGCTGCATGGATCTCTCTTCCTGTATCTAGGAAATGAGAAGGAGGAGGAGGGGAGAGAAGAGAGGAGAGGACAGGAGGGGAGAAGGGAGGGAAGGGAAGGGTTACAGAAAGAGAAAAGGGAATGTGAGAAAGAAGAGAGCAAAGGTCCACAGGTTAAAACACCATGTTCATGGATCCAGGTCACATTTTCCATTTCCCCTCCCGTCAATAGTTTTCAATTTCGGGCATCATTCACCCTCAATCATTCAATGCAAACCCTGGAAATGCTATCCCTGTCACCATGCCCAGTTTACAATGGGCCAGACTGATTTTCTGACATGAATGTTGGCAGAATACTGAGCCAGTCAGCCTGATGCAAGCAGAGCAGGGTGCTGGAGGGCAAATGTTGGTCAGATAAATGGGGTTCAAAGTTCAGAGGTTCTGGGATCCAGCAGAGCCCACGTGCCACCGAGTGCCACCCACGCTCACTCTTCTCCTGGGCTTGGTTTCCCTCTCCCCACAGTGCTCCTGGGAAACATGCCCATTGCTGGTACCTAGCTGAGATTTATGAGCACCAGTAACACCAGACAGCTCTGCCTTTGCTTGGAGAATAGACACAAGACTTGATCATGCTCCGAAAGCACATGTGGAATTTCTCTGTAAAGGTGCCGTGGATGACTCTCCTCATGAAATATTTATAACAATGGAGACCAACTCAGCAAGCCTAGAGGTGTGTGAGTCCAGCTAATCTTGCTCCTGGATGGAATCTCCTCTCCAATACCAGGAAAATGAGATACATCAACCATTTCCCTCTCAGCCTCAGCCTCGCTATCTTAAACAGGTATGCCATTACAGCACACGGCATCTCCTGGCATGAGAAAGGAGCACAGAGGGCGTGAAGCTAAAGAAGACTACTCAGAGGGTGACAGAGGAAGGTCACAGGAGGACCAGGCGGTCTCCTCTCCACCCTAACCATCTCTTTGTACTGTATGACAACTACTTGGTTATTTCTCCAGCCCTGCATGAGGAGCCTTTGAAAAACACAAAACTTCAGAGACTGCACTGCTCAAGGAACACCTAAAACTTGTGTGACAACCCTGAAGAATCTCAGTGGCTTCTAAAGGAGAAGTCCTTGAATTCTTGACTTTGAGTCTCTTTTTTCTTATCTGCAAATAGAGAGGAAGGACCAGGCCTCTCTGCAAGCCCTCCCAGCCTACCTTGTAATACTATGAACCGCCACTTCATGTAAATTAACACAAAGAGAACACCAGTCTTTTCCCAGCCATAAAAGTCGAGGCTGTGAATGGAAAAAACAAGGAGGCTGCTACTATGTGAGCAGCCAATTCATGAAGAAAACCCCACGTACAATCCGTTTGAGGTACTGGGGTCTGAAGCCCAGTGAGCCGCCTCGCTAGCATTTTTATATTTTTATTTTGAGACAAGGTCTCTCTAACATGTCCAGGCTGATCTTGGATTTGCAATCTTCTTCCCCAGTCTCCCAGAGTGCTGATCTACACCACTTGTGCACCCACCTAGCATTTGCTTTTTGGCCTGAAGAAATGCCTTTCCTACTGCTAAGTGGCAAACTGTGTTAGCCTTCATCCAGAGCTCAGACAAGCAACAGTCACTTAAAAAATATTTTTTCTTTTTGTCCTGGTAATCAAACTCAAGACCTTATGCTTCCCAGCCAGACGCTGTGCCCTGAGCTATATCCTCAGCCTAAGGAAAATTTTTATCCCTTGTATGAAATCCCAGATTAAGACATCCCAGGATAATATGCAAAATTTATTAAATATATAAACAAACTATTTTGCAAACTAAAGAATATTAGCAAATTTTTAAACATTATTTTTATTATCATTACTGCTATGTAAAACTGTAGTAAAGGCTGCCCAGAATTTAGTGGCAGAACAGTTAGAATCGAAGGAGGTGGAGCTCTCTTATCTGCTTACTTCCTCACTCATCAAATAGGACTCTACTGATTGGTGGTGGGGACCTAGAGACCTCATTACAGGATTGTGCTACTTGGATCCAAAAGAGGGCATGATCAATCAGCAAAGCCTGCTGGAGAGAAGCTATAAACATCATTCCCAGCATGAGTATCATCACCTCAGTATTCCTAGGAATAGATCTTGCAGTGTCATGACCTATGACCTCCATATTTACAAGTGCAACGTTAAGTTCTCCCTTAAGCAACAGAGTCATAGATCCAATCTCTTGCCACCACCTATCTGCAAGAGATTAATGAACATTTCAAATTGCATTTGCCCACAACAGAGCTCTAGTTCTCTCCCACAACCTTCTGTCTTCTCCTAGAATTCCCAGTCTTTGTAAATGGTGAAACCAAGTTCTTTGAGCCAATGAAACTAGAGAATCCACCTGATTCTTCAGAGCTCTGCACCTTGTGTTCTGATCCAAGAGCAAGTCGTGAGGGCTCCCAGGCCTGAAGTCTGTTCACTACTTCCCTACTTCTCTCTGACAACTCTCACCCAAGACACTTGGGTTGCTCTCCGACACTTCAGTTTCCCAACTCATCTCAGTGTTTCCCATAAGAACTTTTCTTTTCCTTGTTTTCCACACAATAGCCAAAATGCTCTTTTTAAAATATATGTCTAAATCATTTTAGTTACTGCATAAAATTCTCCAATGGCTTTTCACTACTCATGGGATAAAACTCCACTCCATTTCCATTACCTGCAAAATCACTCACACACACACACACACACACACACACACACACACACACACACACAGGGATTATACCTGCATCTTCCCTTCCATCTCACACTCTTCTCTCAGGGCACTAGAGGAGCCACCAAGACCACTCCTGCTCCAGAACTCTAGACTTTTCCCCCTTTTCCAAGCGCTCTTCTGCCACCTTCTCACGTGCCTGGTTCCTCCTCTGTGGGCTCTCACTGCAGATACAAACTCCCAGTCACTCTCTCCAAAGCAAGACCTCCACAGCTGTCCCACTAACACGTCACTCTGGTTATTTTCTCCACATAATTTATCATAATCTGTGAATTTGGATCGGGTTGTTATTCTCTTAAATATCGCAGTCTTGTTTCATGCTTCTTGCTTCCTGTCATTTCTTTCCTTTTCCCACTAACACGAAGCTCCAAGAGGGCAGATCCACTCATATATTCATTGTTTCATCAACCCTTCCTAGTGCCTGGCATGAAGCAGGCAACTCACAAAGATTCATTGGTTAATGAATGTATCTTCCGCTCTTTTCCTCATTTACATGATTACTTTGAGTAAGTATGTATATTGCAGTCAGGAAGCAGTATGGTAACTTTTGGAAGACCAAGAGATGAATGGCTAAATGCCAGTGGCTGACTATAGAAAATGGCATTTGGTGCTGACTTCCCCTCTTTTTCACTTCTGCTCACTCAGTCCTGAATGAGAGCTGAACATTCCTTATGCTGGTTTGACTCATTTCTCTTTATAAAGGATTGGCACACTGAAGTGATGAGACTTCATTAACTCCCACCAGAAGAAAATGTAAGAACCACCTGTTTGGATACATGGAGACTCTGTGTGCATTCTCATTTTCAGAAAAGCCCTTTCAAGTTAACTAATTACCTATTTTCGACCACTGAAGAACACAAGAAAATTCACTTCTTACAATGAAAGAGCAGTGGACTGGGTTTCAAGGTGAGTTTGACAGGTAACTGGCTGTATAACCTTGGAGGAGACACTTTCCTTCTCTGAATCCCACATACAACATCTGAAAAGTAAGAGAGCTAAATTCCATCATCCCCAAGTTCTTTCCCTGCCTCAATTTCATGCCTGTTAATCACATTTTCCTGCTCTTGCCCACACAGAAGAGGGTACTGAGCAAATTTTTCATGCAATAACTATTAACATTCTACAATTTTTCTCTTTTGCTGATTTTTCAAATTAACATAAAGAATAAAGTTTCCTATTACTGAAAATACTGACATGTCAGCTACTTCACAGTCTGTGTTTTCCCCTCTGGAGTTAAAAGAGTGACCAATGGAAACCAACTAATGAGACCTGATCGTGAATATCATACTTCCGTGTTTAGCCACTGTGAAGGATGCTGCTGTGTAACTGGAGAATGTTTAATTCTGCCAGCAAGAACAAGAAAAACAAGTGGGATGTAGGAAGCTCCAAAGAAGTGTTAAATATAGATTCTAAGTTAGAGACCTGTGAAATGTGTTAAGCACAGATCAAACATGCAGAATGTCAGGCTGCTGAACACAACAAAGGGGGATTAGATAAAAGTGTGACTTACAGGTAGAATGGGGTGGGAGGACCAGGTCACCATGTGTAAATCAAGTCATCCTCAGAATGACAACTGTGTCGTCCCTGAATCTGACACCCATCGCTGGCCTTCATTGAACTCCTATAGACCCCACATGTTCTCTTCCCAGGCAACACTGTCAGAACCATTCAGTGCGTATCACGTTACCTGGTGAACCACAGCTGTGGCCAGAGTTACCTGACACAACAATGCTGGCTCCAGGGACCTCCCTTTTACTGAACCCCCTTCCCTAAACTGAGATCCAGTCCTTGTCATCCCAACATCAGGAAAGCTGATATGTCAGAGAGAAAGAAAGAGAAAGAGAGGTTCTGAATATATACACAATGCATAAATGTGGGCACCCTTCTCCCCTTGTCATACCCCACCTCAGTGTGTGCTAACCTGCATCTCTTGCCCTACTTCCTCCTGGATTCCAAAAATTGACTAGTAAGCTACACGATTCAAACTTGTGAAATGTGACCCACCTCTGAGGGTTCCCACTGTGTGCCCTCTAGTATTGAGGGCTGCCATTGTACTGAGGCAGCTTTCCAGGATGCCATTATTTAAAGCAACTGCCATTCTTTTTTTTTTTTTTTTTTTTTTTTGGAAAGAAGAGGAAATATCACTCGAAATACTCTGATATTTGGCAAGATCTAGTTACCATATGCTAACTCAGCAGCAAGGGTTAATCGCTTTTTCTTTCCTAGGATGAAAAGGTGCCACCTATTCCTTTTAAAGCAAGACTAAAAATGCTAAGGTGCTAATTAAACATCAGAA